AAGAACGATACAACAAGCTCTACTTACAATATATAATATATATAACAATATATAACTTCTCTTCAGAATTCGTTGATTCAGACTCATGGTACGTGCCACAAACGATGTTTTTCTGCACACCAGAAATTGGCTTCACAAATTGTACCCATGTGGGGAATCGAACCGACCAGCCAACCAACCAACCAACCAACCAACCAACCAACAAAACAAACAAACACAATTTTTTTGGCTGAGGTGATAAAGGTATAGTACTCTTTCAGTAAATGGTACTTGGGAGGAAGAAAACGTATAAAGCTCACTGATATATGACATTCGAGTATTCTTTATAACCTCAATGAACAGTCTTTCCCTAAATGGTCAGCAAGGCAGCAAGACTTCGGAGGCGAGCTAACATTTCAAAGGCATCGTCACGAGGACATGGCAACAAAAGGACTGCTAAGCTGATATTTCTCTCGCCTAAGTGTGCTTTAAGGTTTAGAGCATTTGGTGCATTTCTGGAACTCACTGTGATAACATATTACTGCCTCACACGAGAAGGTGAGGCAGCCTAGTGGCTAAAGTTCGTCACGCCGAAGATTCGATTCCCTACATTGGTTCAATGTGTGAAGCCCATATCTGGTGTACCAACCCTGACATCGACATTGCAGGAACATTTTTCTAAAAGTGGCGTGAAATTAAACTCTCTTCCACAGTACAGTTTACGTCATAATAGTTAAATGAAGTGTTTAAATGTTGCTTTAGAAGTTGTCCACTCCCATATGCTAGTACAGTATAATTTTGTCAAAATGCAGTGTTTCTGAGATACATCGATGTTTTTCTTCATTGCTGTTTCCTTTACTCAGATCATCAACCCACTCAAATCATTGGACTCAACCCAAAAGGCAGGCGTTTAGGTATGTACCATCGCAGACAGGAGATGGACTTCATATGGATGCATATGCGTTACATGTAACACTGGAAACGTAAAGTTACGCTTTCGATTCCAAGTTCACTTCTCCTGTTTAGGCAAACTCTACGTTTATGTCAAGCAACTGATCAGAGTCTTGCATTACAAGATGCAAGGTGCAATATTCTAGATGTAACTTCTTTATACGGTAGGCCATTCGTTTTCATGGGATAAACGGGGCGATGGGGTAGCCTAGTGGTTAAAGTGTCAGCTCGTCACGCTGAAGAGACGGTTTGGATTCCCCACATGGGTTCAATGTGTGAAGCCCAATTCTGGTGTTCCTCGCCGTGATATTGCTGGAATATTGCTAAAAGCGGCGTAAAACCATACTCACTCACTCACTCATGGGATATACAGTTTCGTCTTTATGGACTATCTGAATTCCAATCTTTCACAATCTATAACCATAAACTCTGCTTCCAGGAGAACAACTAAAACCAGGGTTTTTTTCAGAATCAGCATTATATCAATCGTTACTTTTCTCACCCTGTATCTATCATCCTAAGAAAAGGGTAACATAAAATAAATATAGGTAAGTTTCTCACGAATCGTAATGAAATACTCTGTCATTCAATTATTCAGCCCAAACAATGCTATAAGATACAAAGTTAAGTTTCATTCGTTTGACATTTACAATTGAATATGTGTGCAATCGATACATGACAACGTCAGACTCATATTTCTATTTACAAATGTATAAACCTGTCTGGAGCTACACTGACGATCACTCACATTTTACCTGAGTAAATATTTAACATCAATACAAAGGAAAAACCAGTGATATGAACTGAAAATTCAAAATCAGTGGCGACACCAGGTGTCTGCGAGAACATGTCCTGCTCTATATTGGCAGCAATATTGACTATCTAATTTGTCTATTTTTCTAAGAAAACCTAGGAATTAATGGAAACTTACATCAAAAAGATCATTTGTTGATGACACTGTGAAATACTTATCCAATGTGTGGATAAACATCCACCGTGATTCTCTCATCACAAGGGATAAACAATGGACAACAATGGGCCATACATCAAGGGTTCGAACTCCATCAAGGAGAGTATGCTAGTAAGTAGCTTTGATTTAGCGCCTCTTTGACGGTATTCCAGGTCTGCTAAATTGTGGGAGGAAAGCCCGAAGCGATGAAGATCAAAGATGTTTATCACTTTGGCAAGACCTTAGTTTATGTTTATGGTGCTGATAAATCTCAACTGCGGATTCGAACTCAAAATCAAAGGTTTCTAATGTACCCATGCTACGCTCATCTTCACAGCAAATATTGATTGGGCCATCCGTGCCTGTAAACCCTGTACTGGCATTTTCTGGTTCTGAATTCTACATTCGCAAATCCATATGATTCAGGATAATCTTACTCTGGTCGGGACGACCTGCCAAACTGCATCCCAAGAAAACCTCCTAAGTAATTAACGATATTCACATATCTGCTCATCTAAATGAATACTCCTAAAAAGTCTAAATGTCGTTTTAATTATAATTTGAAAATAATGTTCCGCAAACGACTCGTTGCCTTTCCAAACGCACTCATCAATATACATATCTACACTGTGGATTAATGTTTCATCCAAGCTGTAGGTCAGGTCAATCAATATTTTTCTTCAGAAAAGAGAAAGGATGAAAGAGAGGATTATGTATTTGTATTTTTTATGTAAGATTAAATCATTGATTTCTATCAAACTCCCACAAGAGAACACATACAACACATACGTATTATTATACTTTGAAGATGTGTTTTTAATATTATTTTTCGAGGCAGTGATACTGATGGTTAAGTGATTCCAAAATTATTTTTTCTTTTATTACCCAGATATTACACACATCGATGCAGGTAGTTTTAATATTTGCACAGTGTGCACATTTCACATTCTAGTTATTCTAGGCGTTTGATTGGCTGACTATGAGCTGAACTAAAAGATTCAGGGAGAGGAAAGCATTTTCACAAAACTGCAGCTCATTTAGAATTTAAAGTATTCCTTAAGATTGTTTTCGATACTTTTGAACTTTAGCGGTTACCACTATTCGTCTCAAAAGTTACGCTACCATGCATGACCATTGATGAACATTACAAACAGAATTAATGGTCGTTCTCATGTTGCAACCGGCCATAGGACGGGAAAAACTGCAAGGTTGGCAGCATCCGTCACTTGTATGCGATTGCTTGGAGAAAACCAATTAACAAGCATTAGAACATCCGATTTCTGACGTTCCATATAGTTTGTGGTAGTCTGTAAGCTGACAAATCCCCATCAAGCTTGACTTTGTTGTCATGAGCAACAGATTCGGAGATTACAAGTCAAACTGGCACTCTCTCCTGCGAAGGGAAATTTTGTCTTATATACTAACCATTGTGGTTTTGGGTTTCGGTTTGTTGTTTAATGCCGCAGTCAGCAGTATTCCAGCTATAATGTGGCGTTCTATAAATAATCGAGTCAGGATCAGACAACCGAGTGATCAATAGCATGAGCATCGACATACGCAAATAGGATACGATGACATTTTCAACCAAGTCAGCGAACCTGACCACCCGATCCCATTAAGTACCCATTCTGCTTAGACCGGGTACTACTTCATGGGGCGGAGGAGTAACTGTTTAGCTCTTGTTGATTCATTTACAAATTACATCAGTGGAACTATGGGATATTATACTCGCTTCAGTCTGATATCAAATTTTATCTCATCAGAAACTATTTCACGATGGACGTTACCTTCATATCAAAATAAGTGAGTGAGTGAGTGAGTTTGGTTTTACGCCGCTTTTAGCAAGATTCCAGCAACATCAAGGCGGGGGACACCAGCAATGGGCTTCACACATTGTACCCATTTGCGGAATCAAACCCGGGTCTTCAGCGTGACGAGTCAACGCTTTAACCACTAGGTTCCCCAATATCAAAATACAGCGTATGTAGTATTCTTTAACTACGTTAATTTAATATTATGGGGAAAGTACATAATTCGTATTTGAATATCAATCCGGGCTTTCCTCCATGCAACAAAATGTATAACTGTTAAACTTGGCAGGAAACTTCTTTGAATGACATTTTAGAAGTTGGGGAGTATATTGAGAAACTTTATGGATTATAGCTTCTTTATATTTGTGAGTGCGACGTTTCTGTACAGATTCTTGCACCGAGCAGCAATGTACAGAGAGGGGATACATTCAGTAAATTCCTGCTTGACAACGGTACAAGAATCTGTACCTCACGGATTCACTTCTTTTAAATGTGGCACTCGCGAATTAAAAGAAGTTGTCATTCAAAAGGTTTGTCAATATTGGCATGAAACCCAACCAATTGACTCACACTGTAAACCTCACCCTCTCTGTTTCCATTGGATCTTAATGTGATTAAGATGAATGTCAGATTACCATGTATGTCCATGCACATCCATCATTTACCGTGAAATCACCTGGCTACTGCGTCATGCCGTGTCGACAACAGTTCAGCAGATCCTCCGTCATGTCATCCTTTGACATTTTCTTATGGCTTTTAACATCCACATTTCAAAGTGTTTTACATATAAAATGCAACAGCATATATTTATAGCACCACTTCGTTTCAGCTTAAAAACGCATTTTCTGTCTAATGAGAGTTTGTAACTGGATAAATCGTAAAATCGAGATATACCGTTAACTGGGACAATGATGATTCAGTGTGTAATAGCGATAAAAAACCTCGTTCCATCTAAAATACCTCCAAAAGATGAGTCTTTGTACAATTCCTTCTGTATCCTGGATATGCAACCCGTCCACCTTGTGTTTGCCATTGTGACCATCCTATAATGTTAATGAGGCTGTGCCAGTGTTAACTGCTTTCTGTATGATACATCCTGAAATCCCCCCATCCACGTTAGACTTATCAATTGTAATGTTATTTGTCCGTGTGCATTGCTAAAGGCGGTATTGAGTGGTTAACGCCAGCCCCTCTTGAATCTGAACACCTCCTCAGCATACCTGTTGGCGAAATAACGCTGTATGTGTAGGAGGGGCACGAGGGAAGGGCCTCTAACCACACACTTTTGCTGATTTAAATCGATTGCTCCGGTCTTTTGTGCGAGTGGAGACATAGGCTGCTGCAGGCGAGGAGAGTCGACCAAACGAGACACGGGGACATGGACAACCTAGCCACCATCATCAAGGCATTCTCCCTACTCGTCATAGTTGCTGGTACTTTAGGTAAGTGTCAGGGAAGCCTTTGGTAGTCTTGTGTGTATATGTATGAATATGAATTCTCCTTTTTTGAATATTGGCTTCTTAAAATGTGAACAGTTTCTTTCACATTCATCGATATATTAAATATACACGTCGTACCTATCGTGTAAAATTTAATCATGAAACGATGAATGGCATTAGTGGAATTTTTGTATGACAGTAGTCATTTTGAGGAAGGAGTAACAGCAATATATAGTCAATTTCAGTTCTTTGCAAATGTACAGAAACTTGTGTTATAAACTGCGAAAGTTTTGTTAAATATGTCCCAATAGGAAGGCTCTTATCGATAAAAGTAAGCCTTTAGCTGTCAACTGTACATTTCGTTTACCGGTCTCATGCACATACACGTATGCCAATTATTCGTTACACTTACAACAATTCAAACGTTTTGATTGTATTCTAATGTGCCTGACTGTTAATATAAGAGCATAACTGTATTTATATTTCAAATGCCTAGCGGCTGAGCACCAAGTTTAAAAGCCACGATTCCATAGGGACTCCCGCTTATCACATTTTAATGCATAATCGATGCCAAATTTGAGCAAAGTGTCTCTATATTGTCGTTGTTCATAGCTTCACTTAAGTAACTGCACGTAGGAGCGTCGTGTTCGATTTAGGATAGGTATAATATCAGCAAAGGTCTGTATCTATCAATGTGCCAGAATCTGTCTCATTTGATTGTTTAAGTATTTCTCAAAGTTGCTTGAAAACCTAATTAACTTGCAAGGAAATACGGCAAGCTTTAAAAACACTGCATCAAATTGTCCATACTATTGCGTGTAACGTTAAAGTCATCTGAAAAAGCATGAATATCATGAAATGGAAATTATACAGCTAATTTTAATTTAAAACATGCCTATTTTCAACATGATCGTATAAAACCTCATCCAGAATGTGTGGATTATTACATTTATTGTGGTATGGACTTGTGACTACATGTGACTACGATGGGCATTTGTGTGTAGACACATATTCATCTCGTTGATGGAGTGTTTTGTTAATAGTTTTGATGGATGTGGGCATGTGATTTACTAGGAGTTACATGATATCATATGCAATAATCGCTTGTAAGAGAGTGGTTATGAAAGACATAAGTAGTTCCTCTGACAATTATCTCCGCAAGCCAAATGCTACAAGTAAAGAGGTTCGAATAATACATTGAGGTTTTCATAATTCAGTGATATATAACTAATAGCACATAGTAAGACTGACAATTTCTTTTTTAATCAGGTTTGGCTGTAGGATGAATGCCACGTACAAAAGCCTTCACTGCAATATTTCACGATTGAATTTTAACAGCATCGTGAAAAAATGGCGATTTGAAGGAGTGACTTAATTCTTAGCGGTGCATTTTAACTCATTGATTCAGTAGTTAGGAGTCACAATTTCGAACTAAGAGTGAGTGAGTGAGCTTCGCAATTGGGATGCGATGACATGTGTCTACCAGGCAACGAGCCTGACCACATGGTCCCGTTAGTAGTCTCTTACGCCGTCATGTACCTGAAATATTGCTGAGTGCGGCGTTAAACAACAAACAAACAAATGTTTCCGTACACCACACACTGCTGTGTATCGGACAAAAACTGACGCTTGCACCGTGGTTACTGTCCCTTTAAGTGAGATTCTGGAATGGCCGTCGGTTATAACCGAGTACTTTCCATTAAAAAATTAATCTTAAATTTCGATTTTTTTTCGAAATATATTTTGCTGCATTTGTATTTGATATATGAGTAGGCGAAACATTCCTCGCATAGACTACACATCGCACGGTGTTCTCTCTCCGTAATTTGAATACCTAAGCAAGTTTCCAAGCTATTGTTTCTGAAAACTACCACGACTCTATCAACATGACGAAAAACACGGTAAAATATTATATGGCAGTAACAGTATCGGAATCTATTTGCAATATACAGTTTAAGAAATATTTCGAGCAGCATTACGAATGCTTCTCGAGTTCCTACAGTCTTCAAACAAGGTCACATTGATGGTTACCTCCGGTCACAACAGTGTCAACTGACTACGTATACAGGATCAGACATATATCCCATGTATGAGTCTGTACGGAAACCACACGTAATCTTAGGGACTGTTATGGACTCCAATAGTTCATCCTTCTTGTAACATTCGCCTCAGTTGGATCAGGTAGAAACAATGTGTGATCAGTCTGAGACGGTGTCAACCTCAAGGATACCCACAGACAGGGTGGATGGATGGATTGACGGAGGTTTAATATGGCACAAAGAATATTCAATTTATTGTGTTCACACAGCGAAGAAGCACGAACGGCTTCAAGTGAGTGAGTGAGTTCAGTTTTACGCCGCACTCAGCAATATTCCAGCTATATAGCGGCGGTCTGTAAATAATCGAGTCTGGACCAGACAATCCAGTGATCAATAGCAATTGGGAACCGATGACATGTGTCAATCAAGTCAGCTAGCCTGACCACCCGATCCCATAGGTCACCGCTTACGACAAGCAAGGGTTACTGATGATCAATTCTAAGCCGGATCTTCACGGGTCGAACGGCTTCAAGGATACCCACAGGTAGGACGGACGGATGGATGGATGGTTGGACGGACGGACGGACGGATGGATGGTAGGACAGGCGTACGGATGGATAGATGGATGTTTAATATGGCACAAAGAATATTCCATCTATTGTGTTCACACAGTGAAGAAGGACGAACGGCTGACACCCACGGATACGACTGACGTACTCTTCCAAGCTGTGTAAAACCAAGACCATTCACTGACTCACAGTTGCAGTAAATGGCAAAAGTCAACTACGCATTAAAGATACTGACACAATGAAACTATTGGCAGTTAGTCAACGATCCTTACATTTTCTAAAATGCCATCTCATAAGAGTCTTTCATTTAAGATTAAGCATTTATGCAAAGTTATCTATTCACACGTTAAGGCTGTCTCTGGTCTGGACTATTTACAGAAATGTTTGAATGTCTTGACTTTGCATTGACTTGTCTTGTATATATATATTCCCATTCATGTTCGATAGGACAGGCGTTCCAAAGGCCAGGCACCTGTCCATGACAAAGATCCTTTTGAAAATATTTTGATGACGTTAACACCCAAGACGCTGTTACTGAAACTGGTGTTCCAGTTACGACAGATATGTACGAGGATAACAGATAGAATGGAACAAGTTATTTCATACTTAATCTAAGGTTAGCCAATGTACGGAGGTATATAGTGGGATTTAATTAAATGGGTTCAGAACACGATGAGATAATACATTTGGAGCCTGAATCACATGACAATGAATGTGAGGTGCGTTGTTTTCATGTTTACAGTGTTCTTATATTAATTACTTATTAACAGTAATGTCCTGAGTATGTCTATTCATACAAATTCGTCTATTTTATAAAACCCTGGCAAGGAGATTCTTTTGCTTTGTTTTCAACTGTCATTTGACAATTAAAGTTTGGAAACATAAGCATATATTTGGAAAAAGTGTTCATTACGCGAAACTGTGACCAAGAATGGTGCCAAAGTTTGATGTAAATGCTGATTAGGTGGGAAATTCGTAGATCTCAAAACCTTCGATGGAGGGGTTAATGTTCCTTCCTTCCATGCTTTGTTCTCAGGCGTATGCAATAGTTTTTCTTGGTGTAGAGGCATTGGGGTAACACAATACGCAGTTTAAACGTTCGCTTCTGAAGTCCAAAACCCAGGTTCCATTCCCTACATTGGTACTAATGTGTGGAGCCCATATCTGGTGACTCTCGCAGTGATATTGCTGGAATATTGCACAACCACACCCACACACTCATGGAGTCATTTCCTGTATGCCCATGTCACCTCAAATGTGAAGGTCACGGATGTCATATCCCGAGCTAAGGTAAGCAACCTAGAGTTGCCTCCCCTGATACCATGCGGTGGTGTCGCCTGTAACTGTCTCGGCAGTAAAGTTATAGTCGTCAATAGAAGAAGTTGTGTCGTCCGTCTCCCCTCTCACAGCATGACAACGGAAGACATATTTGACGTCTGCAGAATATCACCATGTCAGGTTAAACGTTGCAATATTATTGCAAGGCTTTGATTAACATTTGCTTTAGAAACTCTGATTGCTTTAATCTGAGTCGACAGATCTTCTACTTATCTTGAAAGGCACAGTGGTAATCGCCTGAACACCGACGTCAGGAACAAACACATTTTCTTCGTTTCACCAAAGTTATATAACGTCATCGACGTGCATCCAAGTTACTTCCACGTCAAGCTGAAGCGTGGTGTCACTAAAATGCTTTTCTAGGCGGCATTCGAACCAGCTCATTAACTAGAAACTGAGTTGATTTGGGGCTACATTTATCTTTGAGGCTGAAGGATCAAGGTGAAATTAGATTTGTGATTTGCTAAGAATAGAAAGTATCCCCATAGCCAATTTGTTTGAGTACAATGCATATTACGCAAACACTTAGGCGTTGATCTACGACTTACTTTCCATACATACCATAGCAGGTGGCCTTATCTATTCATCAAATTGTTCTGACCCAGCCACTTTAACCTCTGGTTCAGCTATTTATCATTTCCCTATGGAACATCGCTGCTGGTGAAGAGTCTGTGCTTCATTTAGTTTGTAACCCAATAGACAAATATTGGTTTCGAGTTGTCATGCATCGTGATAGTTAAAAAGAGGATTCCCAGAACATCATAGGAATTTGGGAGTCGATACGACAAAGATAGTACATCGCAGTCTGGCGCTGCGTCGTGGTCACGTGATCACCTCACGTGATGGAGGTAATTTTTGTGAAGAGTAATCTAGGATATATACTATTTCGATTTGACTTTAAAATGTCGCAAAATATAGCAAAATATAGCATAATTGTCATTAACAGTCATCCTCTATTCTAGTTTTACAAATTGAAAGATTCCGCATACTACCATGAAGTCTACTTCGAGTTCGGGTTGCATTGTCATGTAATACGTCTGTCTGCAGTAAAAGCCCA